CACTAATCAAAAACTTTTGACTTAACTCGTACGACAATTAGTATAGTAATAATTAAAATAATAATAATAAAATCAGCCCACTCATGTAATAATGATTTAATCACATTAATGCATAATTATTTATTTAATTAGTAATCAAATATATAATAATAAACTTGCTAGAGTCATATCCGAATGTTCATCCTTTGACACACACACTATTTTTTGTTTTTTTTTTTTAATTTGGCTAATTTTTTATATATTTATGTAATTAGAAGCTCGTCGATCCAATAGTCGAGTGAGTTGACTTCTGAAAAGAGAATATGTTCCTTTTTATATCACAAATCTCGAAAATGTACGTTTTATGCTTAATGTTTTTGTAAAGCTAAAATTCTGGAATGGATTAGAATATTAGGGTGAATTTAGTTTTTCTTAATTAAAACTCAAATTTCTTGTTTCTCAATTCTTAGGGCTCGTTTAATAAGGTTTTTGAAAAGTCGAAAATTGATCTCGAAACTAATAATCCACTTTTAAACATATTTGAATGATTTTATGAAAGTATTTTTTTCATGTAAGAAGAGCTTTCTTAATAGCCATCTTCCTCTAAAAATCTTCTATAAGAAGCAGAAGTTCTGCCAAACACACCCTTATTCATCCAAAATTTACATTATTACGTGGGACCCGAAACTCGATGAGAATACACGTACGATATGTGAATTCCCGAGTATCAATGTCACAAACTTTTGGTACTAATTTAATTCGATGAATTAAACTCCTTTGCCAGAAGAAACTCACCCACCCGGTTGACCTACTCTCACNTAAAGAATTAAGCTCCTTTGCCAGATGAAATTTGCCCACCTGGTTGACCTACTCTCACATTCGAGTGGGACTCGTGCTGACCCCACATGAATAAAAAATGCAAAAAAAAGCCCCCCACCCACCCCTATTGTGTGTGTATGTCACCTAGGGTGTCAAAAAAATTCTAGCACCCTAGCATCGTCCTAATTCGATACGTCTCCGCTTGTACTTCTTCCCAATAGACATAAACACAAACCATCAGATTTTTGGAACTTCCTCTAAATATATAAACAGAGAGAGAGAGAAAGAGAGAGTATGGGAAGAACGGGCCCAATAAAAGACGTGATTCCATGCACTATTTCCATATATACATAATTTCACTATTGATCCCCAATTTATTGTATCAATAATAAATTGGTCCTTGACTTTAAAAAGAGCACATTAATCACTAATGGTCTGTTCTATTTACTTGATTAAGGCCATTTTCAATTTTCGAAAACACTGAAAACATATTTACTTATCTATTTCCAAAAATGAGTTTAAAATTTACAAAAAAAACGAAAAACGCCAAAAAAGTTGTTTTGACCGTTTTCAATAATAAACACCCTCCAAATACTTTTTTTTTTCTTAATTTTTGAAAACAATTTTTCAAAATGACAAAAAGAATGTGCTTTCAGCAATCTCAAAATACAAACCTCAAAACTAAAAATTGAATCACGCAGAGAACATCTCCTAACATTTTCGTTA